ATCAATTTAAAATTAATCTCTGATTTTCACTAATATTTTTAAATTCAAGGAGAAAGAAAACTTACTTTGAATTCTTGTAGGGAAGAGGTATCCACTTAATAAAAAATACAGGTGTTTTGCTGGATTGAGAGCCAGAACAAAAAGGGGTTCAGAATAAACAACTTTTATTAACAAACACAGAGCAGGAGGACTGTTGTGCTGACACTCCACTGCCCCCTGTGTCCCCTCACAGATGGGGCAGAGGTGGTGGCCCAGCAGCAGCTGCAGTGCTGGTGTGAGGCAGAGGAGCAGTGAATGTGGGGTTTTGTGTTTCAGAAAGAATGACTAAACTCATAACTGCATGATGCATTTTTTTGTTGTGGCCCAGATGATGATTTCCAGCTAATACAGAGGTCTTTTCTGGAGAAGCACTACCAGGAGTTTGATGACTCAGAAGAAAATAAGCTCATCTATACGGACATTTTTAATGAATATGTAAGACACCTTTTCCTATTTTTCATAGGTACTGCTTTTTTATTTTTATTTAGTCTTCCCCCTATATAAAATACTTGGCTTCCATGGAGCAGATCCAGCATTGTGCCTGCTGTCTCCTTCAGAAGCACAGCCACGATCTGTGGACAAGAAGGGTGTTTTCTCCTTGTTTTCTAGGGATGTTTTTGGAAGTTGTGTAATTCTTGAATAGAAATTTAGCCTATTGCAGTACTAAATAATGTGTTTTTAACATCTGAGCTAACAAAGTTTCTTCTTTCCCAGTTGTATTATTTCCTGTATTGAACACTTCAATCATATTCTTCATGCAAAGCACGATTAAGAAACTAGACCAGTCTGCTTGTCAATACCATTAAATGAGTTAAAAATAGGACATAATTACTAGATATAGGTAGTCAGTGGTTGTTCTCACCAACATCCCCAGCAAAAACATGCTCAGCTCTTGCCTCAGGGGTGGTGTGAGAACAGACCCAGCGATGCCCCACCGAGGAATCCGCAGTTGTGCCCAGTGAGGATCGTACAGAGTGCCAATAAGGTGTCAGTGCAAGGATGCTGTTTTGAAATCTGCTTCTGAAATGTGTTGTGATGTTACAGGGGAGGTTTGTTTGGGTTTTTTTTTTTCAGATCTCTTTAGTAGAGAAATACATTGAAGAGAAGTTGCTTGATCGCATTCGTGGGTTCGACATGGTCGCCTTCACAGTGTCCTTGCAGTAAGTCCTTCCTTTGATTTTGGCTGGGGGGTGGCTCATGTGCCTCTCAATTTTTTTAATCTAGATTAAAATTTAGTTTTGACAATTCTCCCTTTAGATAATGGTTCCTCTTTAATTTAAAAAAAAGGATTGTTTATGCAGGCAATGACTGACCACTTTTCCTGCCTTCAGCGTGTCCTGCTACTCTTTCAGAATTATGATACTGAAATATATTGGGTTCTAAGGGGTAGGAAGAGAAATCAGAATGAGAACACTGGAGGATTTTCATACTTCTTGTCACTTTGAAGTCAAACCCTTAAAATGTTTGGTCTTGTTTATCTCTTCCAGGCACTTCAGTAGCCTGGTGGTGTTTTAGAGTCATGTGATGAAATTCCTTTATTGCAGTTCTTGTACAGAGTGTTCAGAGAAGACTTTGGTTTGTGTTCAGCCTTTGCATTTGTTCACTTCAGCTTAACCAGCTTCATGTGGAGATCACTTTTGAAAGATCACTGGTTTGCCCCTTGAATAAGGAAATCAAGTGTAATTGGGACATGAATATCTTAAAACACTTGAATCAGTTTAATTTTTAATGTTTCTTAAATTGGGAATCTACTCTGGATGCACATAGTACACACAGAGAACAGCCTCTTTAAGGTAAAGTTCCTTTTGAAGGAGATTTTTTTTTTAAGAAATAATAAAACAAAAACAGAAAAACAAACTAAAAAACCCCAATAACAACAATACAAAACAAACAAAAAACCCCAACCAAACCAGAAACAAAAACCCAACCCTTGACTGCTAGGAAAGTCTTGTTGAAATTTGCTGACAAGGGGAGCTCAGAGCCTTTCTTCCAAAATGTTTTCATCCTCTACTAAGGTTTGTCAGTAATTGTTCTTAAGGACTGTGGATGGGCATCTGTGCCTCTCTCCAAACTTTCTCACCTTTCAAGGAACTGTCTGGCAGTTTCAGTGCTCAAGATAAATAAATAGAGGAATGCTACTGAGTGTTACTTTTGTTGACTCACAGGTCTTCAAGGACTGATATGATACTCTTAGGTCTTGGATTTAGATCAATATAATAATGTACTTGGATTGGAAATACTGCATGGTAATCCTTGACCACAGTTTTGCTTTATGATACACATGTAATAACATTCTTGTTTAAACAGTGATATTGTTCTACTTGTCCTTTTTGGCCTCGTGCCATTTTAAAATAACAAATTTTTCTGGCAGAGTTTTCTCACCCCCCCAACTTTTTCTCTCCGTAGACAGCGCAAAGATGAAATGCCAGGTGATATATTTGATCTGCTTCTCACATTTACGGACTTCCTGGCTTTCAAAGAGATGTTCTTGGAATACAGAGCTGTGAGTATGTCACGCACTGTTTATTTTCACTGGCACAGTGGCTGTTGGTTCTGTGTAGCTCCCCCTGGGAGTACCAAAGGTAAAGTTGCTCCAGCAGGCTGCAGCCTTTAATCGAAGGCTGTACCAGAATTAAAAGGAAAATGACTTCACTGAGTGTCTTTTTAAGCTCATTTTTAGAAAACATGAGTGAGCAGTTCTTCAGAAACACACACTTTCTACATCTTTGAACATTGATTTCCAACTGAACAGAAGGGAACACCTTTTCACTGTGAAGGTCTCCGAGCTCTGGCACACCTTGCTTAGGGAGGTTGTGGGGTCTCCATCCTTAGAGATATTCCACAGGTCTCTGGGCATGGTCTTGAGTGGCCCTGCTTGAGCACAGGATTTGGACCAGATGAACTCCAGAGATCCCTTCCCACCTTGACCATTCTGATTCTATAATATGGGAGTTTTTTTTAGTTTTCTTTTTATCCTTAGTATGTCCAGAATTTTTTTTGAGGAGAATTTGTTTTCTCCTAGTCTCTGTGCAGGTTGGAGAAATAAACAAAAGTGTTAAAGGTTTTTGGATGAGGTTTTTCCCCTTACCCCAGGGATTCCTGCACAATCTCTTTGGGTTCACATTCAATCACAGATGTTCAAATAACATGTAATTTTTTATTGATTTGATGCAACAAACACTGCCTGTTTCATTTTTTGAACTGCTTATTCCAGAACATCCTGGAGTCACAGATTTCTTTTTCTTCCTTTCTAGGAAAAAGAAGGTCGAAGTCTGGACTTAAGCAGTGCGTTAGTGGTGACTTCATTAAACCATTAAACAAGTCATTCTGAAGGGAGTTTTGTTGTATTTTAAGCAAGGTCTATTCTAGTCTCAGAGGTGGAAGGCAGAGATTCCCAAGAGAGATTCCCAAGAGATGGCCAGAGGGGGCTCAGCTCCACCCTGAGGGCAGTGGGTACCTGATGGGGAGGGCCAGGACCAAGGGGCCCTTATCCAGGGGGGGTCAAATCAGAGCTTTCTGGGAGTTTTATACCTTTTACAAGGTGGATGGAAGAGACTGTGAGAGGTAGCCTTCCCTTCCCAGCTCTGCCCAAACTTCTCCTAACGTGTCTACCAGGACACATTTGAAGCCAGGCAGTTTGGGGCAGTGCCCAGCTGTTGCTGCTGCTGGCAGCCTTTTGCAGGCTGATATAAAGTGCCTGAGTTGCAGCTCGAGCTCGTTGTTCTTTGTCCTATTTCAGCTGAACACGGGGAACAGTTTATTCTTTCTTTGCAGCAGCATTGCTTCACAGGAGATCATCTCATTCCAAGCCCCTGCCATGGGCAGGGACACCTTCCACTGGACCAGGTCCCTCAAAGCCATCCAGCCTGGCCTTAGCAGGAAAAGGTGTGAAATTCTCAGGGCCATGGTTTTAACTGAGAAGTCAGGGGGTGCAGGGAAGTAGTTGACAAGATGGCAAGGCAGAATTCCTGTTGATTGGCCATTGCCTGCTTTGTAAGAACAGCACACAATCTTTTGGGTCACCTCCTTCCCAGAGAGATGTAGATTCTGCATCCTCAGTTGCCTGGTGATGTAGTTGAAATAGGAGAAATGCTCTGTACACATGGAATGTGTCAGGGTTTGGAAAGCTGAGACTGGTGTCTTTTAGCACTGTGTAAGTAAACTTCCTATTTAGACCTGTTGATTTTGGTAGTGACCCACCATGTTAATTTTTATTAATTTAATTTTTTTACTAATTTTCTTGCTGTTCCTGATTTTTATATATATCTCTCTATATATATTCATAGCTGTGGAAACCTGACCCGTGATTTACTCACTGACAACCAAATAAAGGCAGATCTGTCAGGGGCCAATGCCGTGTGTCTGGTTCCTTTTCAGTGCTCACCTTCCATCAGTGCAGCTCCATTTCCTGGGGCTGCCTCTGCAGACAACCTGGTGGAACTGCTCCCGTGCAGAGCATGCCCTAAGTTTTGCAGTGTAGCTCACCATGCACCAGCCTTGGAACTCATGTAATCTATTTTTATTAGCTTGTACAAGAAGAGTGTGAAAGGAAAAGCTGCTCTGCCTGGCTGGGCATCTCTTCGAGTTCTGACAAACGCCCAGAAGGTGAATTTGTGATCTGCATCACAGGTGAGCAGCGGTTCTGTGCTTTCCCAAGGTGCTGATCCTGCAAGTGTTCCCTGAGTTTTTGCAGACTTGGTTTTCATTTTTGAAAACCACCTGCAACCAAGGGGCAAAACTGACTTGCTGGTTAATTAGGTGAACTCTGAGGGGGGTGTGGTGCTGAGTGGGGAGCAGGGAGTGATTAAGCCTTGGCACCTCCCGTGTTTTCTTGTGGTTTGGATGCAGGCTCTGAGTGTGTATGTGCTTAAAGCCCTGTGGGCTTGTTCCTTCTATTGCCAGGTGTAAAACCCACATGGAACGGGGAAGGACAGTCACCTCTGCAGTGACATCTCTGCTGTCCCTGCCATGCTCTGCGTGCTGCCTTCTCGCAAGACAAACTTTCTCATGACAGACTTCCGGTGCTCGATTTAGGAATGTTTTTATTTAAGGCATAAAATTTGTATTCAAGTTGTTAGAAATCAACACAAGAGCAGTTAGGACTCCTTCCTTCGCTTCGCCTCCACCTCCTGGCTCTGCCACCGTTTCTGCATGCCGTTAATTGCAATTACTTACACTGTAGCTGTGAATGAGCAAAGAGGGAAGCCCGGGCTTGGTTTAGTGAATTTTAGTATCAGTGTGCCGCATTGGCTGAGCCCCCTCAGTGGAGCTGCTCCAGCAAGGATCCAGGTGACCCCCAAGGATGAGCAGGAGCCGCAGCCTCCAGCGAGTCCGTGTTCTCCGTCGAGGCCGTCGGTGCTGACGCCGGTCGGTGCTGTGGGCACGTCAGCTGGAAGCATCATCGGAAACCACAGAGCAGCATCCACGTGACCCAGTGCTGACCACTGCTGCCAGCACAGGCTGGTCCCAAGGCGAGCCCTGGTGGCACATGAGGCTCCGAGCCGCCGAGCCGGGCACGAGCTGACGCAGGGCGGCCCGTGGGTGCCTTTGCTGTCCACTCCTTACGCGTGGTCAGTCACTTGGCTGGTGGCCGCGTTGCTGCCGAGCCCTTTCCAGGCGCGGAAGCTGAAGAAGGTGCTCACCCCGTAGATGATCATGGTGACACCTGCAAAGAACTGGAAGAGGAGAACACCCCCCCGGGTGACCACGGTGGCTGCCCCAGCCCCTCAGCCCTCACCTGCCTGCCGGTACTTACGGAGGCCGCGGCTCTCCGGTTGTAATCCCACTGCCGCCAGGACGTCGGCTGGACGGCGGCCGCGCACGTGACGAAGGCGGTGATGTACAGGACGGTGGCCACGGCGTTGTAGATCATCAGCTGGGGGAGGCAAAGAGCAGGTGGTGAGGCCTGGGCTCGGGCTCGTGCATGCTGGGATGAGGGATGAGCAAAAGGCTCAGTTTCACATTCCTCCCTGTTCCCCAGGAGAACCAGTGGAAAAGGGCCCAGCCCCTCACACTGGGAACAAACTCTGGATTAACATCACATTAAATGCTCTCCAGGTTATGCTGAGAGGTTTCTGGTTGACACCAGCAGTAACACCAAAACCCGGCTTTAACTCTCTGGACTGACACAGGACTCTGCATTTTGAATACTCACTGAGCAATTGAGGGCCACAATCTAAGAATGTCATTGTGCAAAGTGCAGGGGATTTTGTTCTGTCAGCCCAGAAGAGCTTGAAGCTTTGGTCCTCTCAGAGATCTCCCCAAGCTGTTTCCTACTTGGGGCCCTCCCTCACTCCCTCTCGGCTACGCACCACGAGGGGCCAGGGGATCACGTAAAACTTCAGCTGAAGCTGCAGGAGGTAAGTCATGAAGAAAAGGAGTGTTAGTATCCAGCAGAAGAGGGCCACAAACATCACCCAGCCGTAGGCCGCGTGGAGGTGGTACGTTGTGGCAGCGATGAGAGACCACACCAGTAAGCCAAGCACCTGTGGGGTGAAACAGGGAAGGTGTTCAGGGGCTGGTTCCTGCAGGTGGAACACAGAACATTGCCCACCAGCACCGACAGCAGCTGGGTCCCCCTCGCTCCAGGGATGCAGGGGCACGCTGGGGAGCAGAAGGGCTCTCTGGAGAGCTGCTCTGCCCCTGTGTAAACCAGCACCACTTATTGTCACAGCAGAAACACAACAGCCTTTGTCCTGCCCGCGTACAACGCCCTGGTGCTCGGCTGCCCCGACAATGCCTCCTTGTCTGTCACATCCATTTCTAACACTCGTGATCACAAAATATGTGCTGGGCAGAAACATGTTTAGGGGGCTCCTCCAGGAGTGGGAGGTGGCATGTGTGAGCTGCCCTGCTCCAGCTGCTGGGGGAGAAAAGCAGGAGCCCTTAGGAGAGAGGATTTGGGGAGCAGTGGGTCTCAGTGGATGGGCGAGTGTGTTTAATGGTACGGCCCGAGCAAGGGGCTGGAGAGGTGGGACCAGCTGCAGGGTTGAAGGGTCCCTTCTGTTGGTTTTGGTCCCATTCCTCTTTCCTGGCGCTCCTGCAAGGCACCCCCGGCAGCATCCTTCCCACCCCCTTCCCTGAGCATTTGTTCCTGTGTCACAACCAGCTCAGCCATGCCCAGGGGTTGGAATCTGGAGCCAGGTCCACGCCAGCTGTTTTCACAGGGGCTTCTAAGGGCACATCCCACTGCTGTCCCACCAGCACTGCCCTGAGGAGAGAGGACGAGCAAACCTGTGGGGCAGCACCGTGGGCAGACCCCGGGGCAGGTCACACGTGGCACCGCACGCAGCTGAACGCCCACCCGTGTGCTCTCGTGTGGCACCCGAGGTGCCAGGAGGGAGCGGCAGCGGGAGTTCATTCTGTGGTCGCCTCTGATGCTGAAGCAATGGGGAGGGTGACTGGTGCAGAGACCCTTGGGCTCATCTGAGAGCGGCCGCCAAAGCCTGGAGGACAATCTGGAGGGCTGGGAGTGCCCAGGGAGCGCGAGAGCGTCCCATGAGCGACCCCAGGACACCTCAGTTGGGGTCATCGTGCTTCACACCGCCCCCCAACCCACTGCCTGTGGGATCCCCCCAACCCAATGGCCACGCGGATCAGCCGTGCCTGGCAATGGGAAATGCGTGGAATTACAACCAGCAAAGGGTGTGAGGACAAGAAGCCGAATTTTCCTCTGGCTTCAGAGAGGGAAGGACGAGGGGGTGCTGCGGTGCCTCAGGGTTAGGGTTGGACACGGGGGATGGGGTGGCAGCCAAAGGGAGCCCGAGCTGCCTCCAGCCAGGGCTGCGAAGAAAAGTATCCAAG